AAGATGACAGGAAATTAACAGTGGTTAATATATTGCATGTTATTCATAGTAGGTGTTCAGGTTACAAGACATAGGCATGCATAACTAATCAAACAATGTAAGCCCAAACCATTTTTTTCAATGAACAGAAATCAGTAGTTTAACTATCTTAGCTTTTTAGCTTTCTTTTTCTTACATATATATTTTCTTTTCTGTTTCTTCTTTCACTCATTCCCGTAGTTCTTTCCTTTTAAGCAGTTTCTTCACCTTTTACATATCTATTATATTTTGTGTCTTATTTACTCTTTCAGTTTCTTACACTGGATAACAACACAATGACTGTAGAGGCAAATTTGTTTTATGTCACTTATGCATATGGTCTCTAGTTGCCTCCATTTACCTATAGAAGTTTTGAGTTTATCCTTCTTTATAGCAGCGTACTACTCTATTATATAAAAATATTTTTTATTCATTTCTCAGTTGATAGGCATTTGGGTTGTTTCCAAGAATTAGATATTACAAATTATGCTGCTATAAATGTGGCTATACATATTTATCTGTAGTATGGTGTTTTTAGCTCTTCTGGGAATATATCCAGAAAGGAAATAGCTGGGTTGAATGGGACCTCTAATCCAAGGTTTCTGAGGAATCTCTACACTAATTTTCATGGTGGTTGCCCCAGTCTACACTCCCAATGAGCAGTGGAGAAGGGTTCCTTTTTCCCCACATCCCCTGAAGCATCTGTTATTGACTGATTTTTTGATGATAGCCATTCTTTCTGGAGTGAGATGGAATCTCAATGTTGTTTTAATTTCCATTTCTCAAATACTAATGATGCTGAACATTTTTTCATTTATTTATTTGCTATTTGTATTTCTTCATCAGAGAAGTGTGTATTCATCTCAGATGCCCCATTTTTGGATTGGGTCTTTGAATTTGAAAGGCCTGATTTTTTCGCAATTACTTGTATGTTCTAGATAGAAGTCCTTTGTCTGAAAGACAATTGGCTAAATATTTTCCCCACTCTGTGGGTTGTCTTTTCACTCTGTTGGCGATTTCTTTTGCTGTGACAAAACGTTTTAATAAGATGAGATACCAGTTGATTCTTTCAAATACTAGCACTTGTTATCTTTAGACTTTTGATAATAATCATTCTTACTTAGACAAGATGATATCTCTTGATGGTTTTGCTTGCATCTCCCTGATAATTATTGATACCAAGGAGTTTTGATGTACTGTTTGCCACTTTTATATCTTCTTTTAAAAAATGTCTGTTTGGGTCTACTGTTGTCTGGACATGGATGATTGTGTTCCCTAAATGTTCACAGGATTGGAGGCTTTATTCCTTGGGGTGGTAATATTTGGAACATGCCATGGAACACATGTGATAAGGACCAGCAAGTCTTTAGTTCCTGAAGACATGAGATGGTTCTTGTGCAACTCCTTGATAATTTTCTTTTCTTTCTTTTTTTTTTTTTTTTTGTGTGTGTGTTTTTCGTTTTTATCGGTACCAGGGATCGAACTCACGACTGCCTGCTTCCAAGGCAGGTGCTTATGCCGCTGAGCTAAATCCCCAGCCCCGATAATTTTCTTGGGTAAGTTGTTATTAGGTGAAGAAACCTGGCCCTACCAGCATCTGCTTCACCATGCACCCACCGCCTCACCAGGGTCAGTCTGTGCCATGTCATTTGGACAATTTGCTTTACCAACTATAAGCAAAATAAGCATGTTTCTTCATAAGTAATTTGTGTTAGATATTTTGGTAAAAGATGAGCAATAAAAAATTGTCAATATATATCTAGGTTATTTGTATTTCTACTACTGACTTGAATGAATTCCTTACAGAATTTGAATATTAACCAAATGTACAATTTGCAAATGTCTTCTCTCATTCTGTGGGTTGTCTCTTAACTGTTGGTTACTTCTTTTATTATGCAGAAGCTTTTTTTGTTGGATACAATCCTGTTGCTTAGTTTGCATTGTTGGTTGTACATTTGTGACCATATCGCTAAGGTCATTTCCCAGAGTGTATTAGTCACTTTCCCAGTGTTAGGTCAAAATTCCAACAATTATAATTTTAAAAAAAAGAATTTAATTTGGCTCCCAGTTTCAGTGGATTCAGCTGTTGTTCAACTGATTCTAGAGCAGAAATGACTTGGAAGAATGGCACAATGAAAGCTATTCACTGCATGGTGGCCAAGACGCAGAGCCAGAAGGGAGGAGCTGGGGGAAGAATGCCATATTCTCAATGAGCTGGTCCTTCTGATCCAGCCCCACTTCTGAACATGAGATTTTAATGGGGAACATTTGACATAAGACATAATATTCCTGCTCTGTGTTCTAAAAGGCTTATGGCCTTCTCACTGTCCAAAATCCATTTAGTCCATCCCTGTGAATCAGCACTGATGAAAAGTACAAGTTTAAAGTCATCTCTGAGAATTAAGGCAGTATTCAATAGCACAGGGTAAACATTACCATTTCAAAGGGGAACAGGTGAAAAGAAAGAAATCATACCAAAGCAAGACCAAAAACTAGCAACGGCAAATGTTAAATCTTATAGTTTCATGCCCAGGATTTGGGAAGGATGTGGTGAGGCCTGGGCTTCAAAGAGCAAGAGCAGGTCCAAATTTTCACCCTCCATGTGTGCTCTCCTCTTGGACAGGCTTTGCTCACTGCCCATGGCTTTCCCCAGAAATCACCTGTACTCTGTGTATCTCCAGCCTGCTGGATCTCCATCCTGCCTTTGACTTTACTCTCACAGCTTTACGCACTGCCTTTTCATGGTATCCTGGCAGTGACTATGAACCTGTCACAAGTTTTTGTTTGCATTTGGCGGTCTTTCTCAGAAATCTGAATGGAAATATTTTTAACTCCACAAGTTGTACACCAGCACCACATGGATGCTCCCAAGACTGGCCACCAACCTGAGCAGTAGCTGGATTCCCTTGGGGCTGCATTCTCTGACATTTTGTTTTGCAGCTATGAATGAACAATGCATCCTGGGTTCTTTTCCCCAGTGAAAAGTTTGCATTTTTGTACCATTGAGTTTATGATGGGTGGCATCTGGCCAATTCCTGAGGTATCTTCCGGCTATCTTTCCTACTGTCTTGATGCAAAGTGCATGGCTTCCTTTTAGTAACAACCTTTTTAGAAATCACAGTTTCTTTTGTCTGAACTTCACAGGTGCTTTCTTTTGGCCAAGTTTCACATTTACATCCTTTGTGTCTGATTTTTGCTCAAGATTCTCACTGAGCAAATAGTACCCATATCATAGCTTGCACACTGAGATGCCCTGAAAATTTCTCCAGCATGTTAATTAGTACACACTTTTTTTTTTTTTTGTACTGGGTATCAGACTTATGACCTTGCACTTGCCAAGCAAGTGCTTGCACCACTGAGCTAAATCTCTGGCAAGCACACCAGTCTTAATTTTAATCTTTTGCAAATTCTCAGGACATGGGCAGAATGTAGAGAAATTTCTAGCCAAAATAAAGTATGCTTGGCTTCTTATCCAATTTCCAATAGATTCTTCATTCCTACTTGAAACTTGATGAGCTTGCCTTTTGTTTATGGCATTCCTAATTTTTCTTTCTTTTTGAGACAGTGTCTCACTATGCAGTGCTGGGTGGCTTTGGACTTTTGTAGCCCAGGCCAGCCTCAAACTCACAGAGATCCTCCTACCTCAACCTCTCAAGTTCTGACATTATAGCTGCGCATCACCATGGCAAGCCTAGCATTCCTAAAATTAAAAAGACTTTTTCACAGAAATAAATAAATCAATACTGAAGTTTCTGTGGCATCACGAATGGTCCCAAACAACCAAAATCATACTTAGCAAAATGAAGATGTCTGGGAATATCACACTGCCTGATTTTGAAATATACTACAAAGTTATAGAAATAAAAACAGCACTGCATTTGCATAAAAAACGGACACAATGACTTAATGGAACTTAACAGAGATCCCAGAAAGAAATTCATGAATTTATAATCAATTTTTTTATTTTTTTATTTTTGGTTTCAATTGCTTTTAGATGACTAATATGGACACTTTAGTAACAGTATTTCTTACAGTCCATGAATAAGTAACATAATTTCATTTTTTATATTGCTTTCATTTTTTTATCAATGACTTATTTTTTCAGTGTACATATATTTGTACTCCTAAAATAAATTTATTTCTGTGTCAATTTTTCATTACAATTTTTCATTTCATTCCATTTTTCATAAGGAAATATTTCCCAGAAGCTACAGCACTTCTAGAGATTTATTTACCTCTTAGCTTTAGAGGCAGAAAATCCAAATGGCAGGGGAGTCAGGAAGCACAGTGAGATAAAAACCTCCTCCTGAGACATACCAAGGGGTCACATGAGAACTGCAAATGAGCTACTTGAGAACTACCTTCTTAACCAGTCATGCAAGAGCTGGCCACAATTTCTCACCTCTTAATGATACCATAGCACCTCTTCAAACTATCATCTTGGGAACCAACCCTCTAATCACAGTCTTGTTGGGGGTCAAAATCCATATTAAACTCCAGCACCATCTATATATGCAGACAATTATTCTAAATGAAATGTTTTCTTTATTTCTGTGGAGATGTTTCCTTTTGGTCTATAAAACACCTCTGATTTTTGTGTGTGGGCTTGTGTCCCACTGAATATATTTATAAAATGTAACGTGTCTTTAGTGAAGTCAGGATTTTGTCATTTATAAGTAGAAAATTTTACTGTTCTTTACTAATTTGGATAATTTTTATTGTTTTCCTTGCATAATCATTCTGGTTTGGTGAAGAGTGATTGTTCATCTTTCTGCTGATTTTATAGAAAAAGTTTCAGCTTTTTACAGGTATGATGTTAACTATGGAGTGGTTATATATTATATTTATATTTTTTCTACACCTAATTTCTTGAGAGTTCTAAATCATGAAATGATGCAGAATTTTGTCAAATATTCTACCTTACTATAAATAGCCATAAGTTTTAAAAATAGTTGTGTCTCTCCAAGTGTCTACAATATGTATCACTTACATATTCCAGTCAAAATTAATGCCATTTTTGTCTTGTTGTAGACCCAGCAATGTCCCTCCTGTCCATATTTATTCATATCCCGGTAGATGCAAGAAGATTCTCCTGCTGCTCTAAAAAGTGATGGCCCAGGAATTGTTCCTAAAACAATATTCAAAGATTATAAATTTTCCACAAAATACCATTTATAAGGATCATAATAATTTCAGGCTAAAAACATGCTGAATTTTCATTTATAATTATTAATGACTTATTAATGTACATAGTTTTGTGAGTCACTGGAAATGATGAGTTTTCAAAATACACTTATTCCTACATATATAAACATCCTGGAATATTTTTAGAATTGATCCATGATGTGTTATTTAGAAAACAAAATCTAAAAATATTGATGTTCACTGAAAAACTCAGGTATAAATATGTAGAACAGAAATTCTGACTTTGCAAATTCAATGCATCTTCAAAAACACATAATTGTAAAGTTTTCAATGACCAAAAAGTGACTGGATTATGACATCTTTCATTAAGATGGTGATAAAAATACCTGAAAATGCAAATGCTGTGTTGTGTTAGAGGATCCAAGAGTCAGACAGCCTTGGACCTAAGGAAAGGCTGTGATTTTTGAAAGAAGTCTTTATATGCTCTCAGAGAAAACATCTACTCACATTTTCAACTAAAAGTGTATCAGCAGTGAAAGTTATATGAAAAACACAAGAATTGGGCTCTCTAACATCTCTACTGACTGGCCAACTTTCTTGAAAAATGATCAAGGTTCTCCTTCCCCATAAATCTTAATGTCTACTAATAAACATTACCTGGATTTTCCTATTAGTGAATAATAGCACTCTTTTTATAGTGGCTAAACGGGAAAAAAATCTAGGTCCACTACTTAATATTTTTATTTCTCATCATCTGATTCCAATCCACCATAAATCTTTGTAACACAAACTCCAAGCATATCTTGGGTATGTTTATTTTTACTTGTACTCAAACACCAGATTCTAAATTAATACAACTCTTAAACTTTGGCAGAAACATTCCTTTGTTTTTCTTCTACATTTATCTCCTATATTTATTTGTCCATATGAAAACAGAATTATCTTTGAATATCTATCAGGTAATATACATGCCCTGTTTAAAATTCTCTAGTGCCAAAACTCTGCATCATCTAGAGAGATCTTATATCTACATAATTATCTTACTTTATTCTTTCCCAGCACTGAAAAAAAAGGTACTAATTTTTCCTAGTTAAAAAAGCTAATTTTGACAAGCATGATGGTGTATGCCTATAATCTCAGTACTTGGGAGACTGAAATAAGAGGATTGCTGTAAGTTCAAAGCCAGCCTCAATTACGTAGCAAGACTCTATCTTATGCAAAAAAGCTAATTTTAATTACATATATTGATATAGCTACAGAATGATTACTCTGTCCACATCAGAGCCATAGTTTTTTCCTATATGCCTTTCAGTTATCAGTCCAATGTTGTTTACTTATCCCCCTATATTTTTTATCAACTTCTTGAATCAGGGGATTCTAATAAAGCCATAATGTAGATTTGAAATACAGATTTTGCTATTTAAGAAAATCTGAAGATAAATGTACACTATCTCCAAAAATCCCAAGTTGCTCTTACTAACAAGTAAATCTATAAAACCCTCAGATTTAGTGTCTTTGGTGATGAAAATATTTGAAAACACCAACCAAGTTTAAAGTCTTCCCACACAGGCAAGAAACACAAAGATATTGTGATTATATAGTTTCTTTTTAAATTAACTCTCCAATTCACTTGTATTAGATGACTAATATACTTCAGATCAAATGCATTGTTTCATCTGGTCCAACATAATTGATATATAATTTGCATAATGGGATGGATAGTACCTTAACTATCTTGTCTTTATATTAATTGGCTCTTAAATTTTTCAAAGCAGTTCTTCCTTTCATTTGCTTTATGACATTTTACACGTGTTATTAATTTGTAATTTGAACTATACTTGTAAGCATATGCTTGTCAAAAACGAACAATTTTACATAACAAAAAAGCTAAAACTTCTTACCAAATATTCTCACAATCACATAGGTTATACCGATGCCCAGGGAATGGAGTTCTCTAGGTACAATCCTGGAAGCAAATAGCAATAATATTGTTAGCTATGAACAATGTATCCTAGGTTCAAGGCTTTTTCTTGTACCTCAGTTACATAAAGAATCTCTAGGAAGTGAACTTCATTTCCCCATTTTCTACCTGTTGCAAATCAGTTCCAAAGCTCTTTATTCTTCAGGAGGAGAGTTTCGTGGCTTAAATTTTCGGCCCTATCATTTTCTTTCCATTTCTGAAATAACTAGGCCCCAGCTTTCAAACTTTTCTTTCTTTGTTAGGTCATGTGCACCATTGTTTTCTGTTCCTTTTTGTCCTTTGGCACGCCCCTTCCCACTTTTTTCCACTTGCACTTCACAAGGAACACACCAACAGGCTGCCTTGCTTCCTGGCTTTGAACTGGGTTCCACGGTGAGGTACGGAGTGAGATTAAGGTCTCTCCCCAGCCCACACATCTCCTTCCTCCCCATTCCTTGCTTCTGGGCCTGGGCTGATAATGTACTTGTCATTCACTACACCACATACACAATTTAAGTAAGCATTTCATTATACTTTCCTTGGATTGTCCTAATTAGAATTTGGTCCCCCTTTCCTGTTGAGACTTGGATGATTATATTCACATTTAAAAGCTTAAAATAAATGTGAAATAACATGCAGAATATAAAGAGTGAGAGGGCATTGCTAGATTTACTGTCAATATATTCATTAAGATTTTGTGGTACACTTTAGCTTACAAGTCAAACTAAGCCTCTATTTGTTCTGCATCCCTGTTTCAGATGCCATTACTCTTATTTTGATTTTCCCATAAGAACTTGATTCAGGTTGTTTTCTTTAATACATGTTTTGCTATTCTCATTATGACATTAAAATTAACAAATTAATTTGAGAATGTATATCTTCTTATCTAATAATACACTTGTGTGTCTGTGTGTGTGTGTGTTTTATTTTTTATTTAGAAAGTATTACAGCCACATTGGGGGTATAGCTCAGTGGCACAGTGCCTGCCTGGCAAGCTCAAGGTCCTGAGTTCAAATTCCTGGTACCAAAGAGAGAGGGACAGACAGACAGACAGAGAGAGATACACAGACAGACAGAGACAAAGTATTACAGACTTCAGTCTTACAAGAAGTTTAAAAGTACTACAAACTTGGTATTTCCACCAAGCTTCCCACAGTGGTGAAAATATAATTATCAAAACCAGAAAAATGATATAGAAAATAACTGTTAACAAAACTACAGACCTTACTCTGTTTTCATTTCTCAGTTAATGTACACTTTGGCACATTTAAATTGAATTACTTGTGTATATGTGTAGCTTGTATAATCTTACCCTTTGTATTTGGTACCATGAAGCACAGAGAAAGTCATTTACTGTAATAATGTAAAATAGTTTTAACTTTCTTAAGTGTTAAATGAATAACATACCTGAAAATAATCAGAGTGAGTGGTACACCACAAAAACCAGAAAAGACAATTGAAGAAAAAATAAAAGCAAAAAACAAAGGTAATGTGTGACAGTACATGTTACATTTCCCAAACAGAGCATCAATAAAGTCACCATCTGCATCAGCAGTTGTTAATCCTTCTTTAATGCATGAGCAATTATAGTACCTCTGTGAATATTGAAGACAGAAAATGTTTCAGAAATAGGTTCATGAAACAAAACTCTTACTATAAAATAAAACTTAAATCAGTGACTTTAACATGTATCCAGTCATCATTTAGAATTAAAATACTAACGATAAATTCAAGTTATTTTACTGGATAAAGATTAGTGTATCTCTACACTACCTATTGTTATGAAAAAACCTGTTAAGAAAACTTCTTCAAAGTATTTGTTCAGTTTCATAATGTTTGGTTAGCTACAAAACTTGAGGGAAATTAAAAGTAATGAATAAAATAAAATTTTAGCTGGCATTTGAAATACAAATAGTGACCCTACTGTGAAAGATTCTGGAACCAGGTAGAAAAGACAACACTTGCTTTTGTACAAAATGCTGACAAGAATTCTATACACAAAAGGCACAATGCATGGGGCCCAAAATATTGTTAGGGCCATGTGTTTTAAAAGCAAAGAAAAATTTCAATGCCATTATAATAATATTAGCATAGAAAAATAATATATAATAATGAACCCAGCCTGGATACTGTTTTCCTTAACAACATATCTGTAAATAAATTATTGCCTCAAATGAAGAAAGAGGAGCAAAAGAGTAAGCATCTATAGAGTCAATGAAAAAAGTGATACTGTGACCCTGCAAAGGTAACCTATGAAAATTTGAAGTTTTTTTATTTTAGGGTTGATTATTTAAGGAAAATAAATTATTAATTTTTTAAAAAATTAAGCAGAGTTTGTAGATAGATCCAAACTTATTGATCCACTGAATAAATCCTAAATTACAAAATAAGGAAAACAACAATAAATTTAAAAATAAATTACTAGTGAATGAATACAAGACAGCAAAGATGGCTTAAATCTGAGTCATGCAGAAAATCACAGTATAAAAATCACATCAGTATGGCTGGAGAAGTTGCTAAGCTTTTACTGGTTACGTTAAATGACAGATGTATGTAAATATCGAAATTAAATTTTATCCGTCCCACCAAATTTGCAAGTGCCTGTGTTCCAAACATCTTTCTTTTCCTTTTTTTTTTTGTTTGTATTGGGCTCAAACTCACAACTTCTGCTCACCAGGCAATGACTTATGCCCCTGAGATATATCCCCAGCCTCCAAACATCTTTCTAGCTGTTGAGACAATACGTTTTCTCAGTAAAATAGAAATCAGGATGGCAGGATAAATCTCCTGCACATCCCTAATGCCCCTCAGGCACCACTCCCAACCTAAGCTACATGTATGTCCCCACTCCACGTGTCCCACGGAGAGATTGCCAACCCCAGGAGACAATTTCAGACCCCAGAGGGTCCAGGGGTCTCTCCCCACATTCTTAAAATAAAGGTCATTTATATTTCATACTTCTTATCTTTTCAGCCACGCCACAATTCTTTCATACAGGAGGCACTGGGCGTAGTGGCATGGTGATACAGTGGCATTTAAAGAGACGTGTGAATAACGTAAGGGAGTGAGCTACTTGGTTTTGAAGGAAAAAGAAAAATAAATTTTAAAAAACTACTTGCCAAGAAGAGCAAAAAGAACAATGTGGGCTGGAGAAGTGCGCACACAGAGATAAAGGGTAAGGAACTAAGAGAGAAGTTTAGGAACTTTGGCCTTTTTTCTCAGTGATGAAAAGTCCTCAAAGGGTTATGACTGTAAATGAAATACTTTACAATGTCACCTGACTGCTGTGAGGCTAATGGACCATGAAGGGAAGAATGAAAGCAGACAAATGCTTAGTTCATACACTATTAAAAGAAGGTGTAGTGTCACACAGTGGTGCCGGGAGTCAGGTGTGACAAAAGAAAATTAAAAATTACCAGAAGCAGCATTAATTTAAAAGTAGATTTGAAAGGATTTGCTGATGAGGTTTAGAGGTGAGATTGTATTCAAAAGAAGAAAGTCAGAGCCCTCCTCAGGGAAATGAGGAGCCCAGTCCAGAGAGGCAGTCAGCATGCAGCCAGGAGAAGAAACCAAACAATATAACCCTGCTGTCACTTTTGCTATCTTTCTGATTTCCTCCTGTGACTCCTCGTTATCTCAACCTAGTCAGAAGCCAGAGGACATGGGAACTCTCATCCTACAATTCAGACTCCTGGACAATGAGACCGTAGAGAAAGGTGACAGGACAGACAGAGATCCCTAGCTCAGTAATTGATTTCAAGCCATGGAATCTAAGCTGAGAGCAGAAGGCTGAGAGGTCCCATGGTAGGATCACAAGAGCTCGGACTCTCACACTGTGGAAGAATCGAGTTCATGTACTAGCAAGAGGGACACAAAAGAAAGCCAGCTCTGAATAATTGAGACTGAAATTATTGAAGGGGTAAAGATACTAACAAGAAAAGACTTACGGTCTGCCTAGGGAAGGATGCTGGATGAGGGAGAGGGTAGCCGGGACTGTGGGAAAGAAGTAGTTAAGAAATTACAGAGTTAGAATATGACAAAGGCCCTCATGATGAGTTTCAAAGTTAGGGAACAGGTAAAGAAAGGGGCCTGAAAGTATCAAAGGGAACGAGGAGACTGTTCATCCTCTTGTGGCTCAATGATGTGAGGCAAATGGCTGAGAAAAATCTGCCATGTAAAGGTGAAAAAAGGAATGAGCATTCAGAGTGAAAAGATAAATGAGTTTTAGAAAAACGTGGCAATTTTGCTGATACGTATTTCTGGTTTCCAGAGGACAGGGTAGAAGACATCATGATGTTCGTTAGGGTAGGTAGAAGATGAGATCAAGTAAGGGAATACATAAAATTAGAACCATATAGAGATGAGAAATGACCTGAAATTCCTGAGCCTTTGGTGATGACTATTAGATAGAAATGAAATGATAATATGATTAGTCCTAAAATTCCTAATAACAGAAGACCAATTAGAAAATTAAATATATAATCAAAATGACATTGAAATGAAACAGTAAAATATATTCAATTCCAATAATAAAAAGATATATGTGAATCAAAGCAGGCAAGGTAGACAGAGGGAGAGAAAAAAAAGGGTGGAGAAAACAGAAAATAACATGACAAGGATAAATAAATACATATCAGTTATAACCATCAACGTTAATGGTCTCAATTCATCAATCAAAAGACATGCACTGGCAGAATCGATCAAGAAGCAAGATCCAGCCTTGCAAGCAGGCGGTCTTGAGTTCGATCCCCGATACCGATAAAAAAGAAAAAGACAAAAAAAAAAAAAAAAGAAGCAAGATCCAACAACATGCTACATACAAGAAACACATTTAGTTAAAAAAATAACCTCATATACTGTAGAAAGTCAAAGAATGGAAAAAAATATTTCCTATGAGAAGAACCCAGAAAAAGACAGGGGTAGCCATTCTATTTGCAGTCAAAGTGAATTTCAAGCCAAGACTGATTAAGAGACACAAAGGTCAGTACCCCCTTGTAAAGGGGACAATCCAAGAGGAAGAGATAACAATCATAAATATATATGCAACAAGCACCAATGTACCCAACTATATAAAACAAATACTAACAGACATGAAAAATCAAATAAGCCCTAATACAATTGTACTGGGAGACCTCAACACCCCACTGTCACGAAAAGACAAAAAGACAAAAAATCATTAAGTTAGAACTGAACCAAACTTCTGAACAAATGGTCTTACTAGATTTCTATTGAGTTTTCCATTCCATGCTATTGGAATATACATTGTTCTCAGCTGCACACAGGATGTTTTCCAAAATAGACCACATACTGACTTATAGAACATGCTTAAGTAAATACAAAGTAATTGAAATTATTTCATGTGTCCTATCAGACCATAGTGCAATGAATTTGGAAATCCATGTTAAAAGACGCCACAAGATCTTCATAAACATATGGAAATTAAATAATACCCTACTGAACAACCAATGGGTCACAGATCAAATTAAAGAAGAAATTAGACAGATTCTACAGTTGGACGATAATGACAATACAACACACCAGAACTTATGGAATACAGTAGAGCAAGCACATATAAACAACTTAATGGTGAACCTCAAACTTCTAAATGCTTGATGAAAAATAACTATCAGTCTAGTGTCCCATATTCATTGAAGGGTTTTCTTTTCTTTTCTTTTCTTTTCTTTGGTACTGGGAATTGCACTCATGACCTTGCACTTGCCTGGCAGGCACTTATGCCTCTGAGCTAAATCCCTGACCCAGTGAAGGGTTTTCATAAGTGCAGAAAAAATAAAATTCTTCAGTCACACGGAAAATAATTCCATGTATTACAGTTGGAACCTCCAAAGGTCCATGTGTCTAAGTGTCAATGGATTCATACATTAAAGGGTTTATAACTAAAGGGGCTTCTGGGAGGTGGTTGATATTTTAGGGTACAGAGCCTAAGTTAAGGAAGAAAGTTCTTTTGGGCATGCCTTCCAAAGGTTATGTTTGTCCCCAACTCTTCCTCCCTGTCCCTCTCCTCTCCACATCCTCACTGCTATGAAGTGAGTAGTTTTGTTTTTCCATGTCTTCTCCTGTCTTTGGACTACATCTAACTATGGAGCAAGAAACCAATGCAATGATGGACTGAGATCCGTCAAAATACAAGTTTCCTCTTTTAAAGTTATTTTTCTCAGGAAATTTGTTACAGTGACAGAAAAATGACACACCACATGAAAGTAAGAAAATAGAAGAAGGTAGACATAACTGAATATTTACAAAGAAATTCTTAATAAGACACTTAAAATGTATGATTAAGTATATTACTAAAGTAATAAAACACAGATGAGTAAATAGAGTCAAATACTGTAACTGTGTCAACTGAAAGATGTCTGGAAGGACTGTTTCATGTATTGCTTCCTGTTTTGGGTGAGATGAGCTCTCTGAAGATGGTGAGAATTCCATCTATATAGGTTGAGAGCGGAATCTGACAGAAGCCCCTGGATCTGCTCCATAAGTTTTCTCTAACTCTTACTTTTCTGGAACATCTGATGTTTTATAAAAGTCTTGTATACATGGTGATTTCTAGTACTCAATAAAAAGACTGGTTTCTACACCTGAATTGATGTGCAGTAGAAACAGAAAAATAGCAACAACCTAGAGTATCATTCTGAATTCTTCAACAGAAGGAAACAGTGAAATGTGATCAAAACAATAGCACTAGTCAACCCCTCACCTCAGAAGGATGACGTTCCAGGTTTTGAGGGTTTGCTACTGACAAGAAGCGCAGATACTAAGACAAACAATGAAAGTGGAAGACATTATGTTCTCTTGGATTTTTTCTTTCAGTTTTGCTATTATCAGAGATAGACGTGACTACTTTAAAAGCATAACATTGGAAAATGTAGTATACAGAGTTACATTTTAATGTAGGAGTGTCTCTTCTATTCTTAATTCTCAAGAGTCTTTTATGTTATGAAAACATAAAACACCTTTTCTTCTCCTGTTTTGAAAATTAAAAACAAGAAAGAAAAATTTTACAAAGAGCCAGGAGTAAAAATATAAACACTGTCTATCAGGTGAACATGTTAACAGAGAGGAAGAAGCATAATAAAACATAATTACCTTTTCATTGTTTATAATTTTTGAAGTTGTACAGCCTGCAAAGCACGGAGAAAAATATTCAGTGCTGTCCCTTCCACAAACAGACAAATAGAGTGAAGGTGAGCATCCACAATGCTCATTGCAAGGGGCTGTGAGATTTCCCAGCTGACCTGTTCTGTAAAAATGATTGAACACGTAAGTCATTACAGTGCCATTGTTCTGTAATATTAATTTGTAAATCAACATACTAATGAGGTGATTGACGCTACTCCTAAGGATGGTTATTGAAATCATTTCTTTTTAACAGTTTTCTGAGATATCAATAATGTACAATAAAATGCACACTTTAGCATATGCCATATGAAGCTTTTAATTATATGTATAGACTAGTGAAATTGTCACCACAGTCTAATAAAAAATATTATCATCACTCTCTAAAATTCTTGTACCTGTTTGCAATCCCTTGACCCTCTGGTAACATCAGATTTTTTCTGGTCACTATTAATTAGTTTGAAATTCTTAACATTTTATGAAACAAAACCACACAATAAATAGTCTTTCCTTGGCTTCTTTCACACAACTTATCTTCATTTGGTTTTTTAAAAGGGTCACATGATTCCATATGGTGTACATATTCAGGAGAATATTCATTGAATTTTATAAGAAACTGTCATTTTTTTTCAAAGTAGTGCTACTTTCCATTCCCTCCAGCAATCAATAGGAGTTTTAGTTGTTCTCCATATTTCTCTCCAACTCATGTGGCCTTTTGTTCATGGCCGCATTCTAACAGGAGTAAGCTGTTTCATTCTGTGCTTTTTCATACACATATTCTTAGTGAGTAATGATGTTGATTATATTCTTTCTGTACATATTTTTTGATTAAATGTCAGTTCAAATTTTTGGCACGTTTTTGTTGGGTTGTTTGTTGACTTATTGCCAATCATCAGAGTGCCTTACATATTCTGGAAAAGTGTCTTTTGTAAGATGTACAATAATCAAATATTTTTGCAGCAAGTGCACTGCTTTTCATGCCTCAAAATAGTTTTTCTTTTTTTATTTAAAGAAAAATAAAAACAGTAAAAGGGTTCAAGTAATACAGAATTAAACACAGTCTTGCAAAAGCCAGAAGATTTTAACTTTATACTTCTTTCTGTGTTATGCATCTGGTGTCATTTATAAGAAATCCTTGCTGAATCCAAAGTCAAAAATATTTTCTTGGAAATGTTATTATTTAGCCAATACCTAAAGACACAGTCCATTGGGTGTGCTATTGTGATTGCATTGAATGCCTATAGTAATTTGGAAAGGAATCACATGCTAATAATATTGAGTCTTTCAACCCATACAATGTAAGAATATAAGTCTTACAAATGTAGGTCTTTAATTTCTCCCACTAATATTTTGTTTTATTATATATACATTACATATTACTATGTTATTCAGATATGTATCTCATTTAACTTAAGTATTTTTCTTCATATTATTAATACTGCTTTTCTAGTTGTTTTTACATAGTATCTGAAAATAAATTCCTTTATATTGATCTTCTATATCACTTTTCCCTGATTTAAGTTAGAGTTAATGGTTTGACATAAATTCATTTCTGCTTGTTTGTAGGTATATGCAGAGTATAACAGATTGTTTTTCTGTTCAGTGGACTGAATTCAGGGCCTTGTACATACTACACAAGTGCTCTTCGGTTGAGCTACATTCCCAGCCTCAGAACACCATAGATTCTTGTGTGTTAGTTAATTTTGTACCCTGAAATCTTGATAAATGAATTGTATTATTCTAGTGGATTTTAAATTTTTTCTACATAATCGCATTGCCTTCAGACAAAGGGCTTTACTTAATTTTTGTTTTTGTTTTTGTTTTTTGTCTTTTTCATGTTTATCGGTACCAGGGATCGAACTCACGGCCGCTTGCTTGCAAGGCAGGTGCTTGCTTTACTTAATAGCGTTTATTCAAAAAGCCTCATATTTAATCTGGATGTTTATCACCTTTTTTTCTGTTACTATTGTGATGACTAAAACCTCCAATACAGTATTAAGACAGATTATCAAAAACAAACCTGACCATACTGTTTTTGACCACGCAGTGCTTCTTCCCCTCCGTATACCCAGCCTGTGTTTCCAAAACACCGTTGACTGGGTGCTTGAACGACAGACGCTTACTTTAGACAGCTCTGGAACTCGCAAGTCCAGCAGCAAGTTATCAGCAGGCAAAGTTCACGCTTAGGGAAAGCCCTCTTCCTGGAAGCGGATTCTCCCAACCTCACCGTATCTTAACATAAGCAAAGAGAATTAGCAGTCTCTGCCTGTTGTGATGAGGACACAGATTTCATCACGTGGGCTCCCTCCTCCTGATCTCAGCTAAGCCTCACTACTTCTCAAATGTCGCACTTAAAATCATCACACGTGGGTTAAGAATTCACAATTTGACTTCAGGAGAATGAAAACATGTAGACTTTAACAATGTCAGTTATAACCCCAGCTGCAGGAATTACAAACTGAGTTATTTCCTTTCCATTCCTTAGTTTGTCAAAAATTAATGTGACATTTTATCAAGTGATATCTTTTTGTGCTTTCTCCAGGAGAATTTACTAAATTTAATATTTATTAACTTAATAACTTTAAATTTTTTAAACTTTTAATTTGTTAGTATGATGTTATACATCAGTTGATTTTCAAATATTAAACCAATCTTGCATTTCTGTAATAAATTCTGCTTAATTGATTCTTTTTGTAATATCTTATTACACATGATTTACTAAAATTCTGTTCAGTATTTTTGTAAGTATGCATATGAGAGATAAAAGATTTGTGGTTTTCTTACAGTGTTTTCTTATCTCTACAATTTTTATTTTTCACTGACAATGACTACATATTTATGGAGTATAATATGATATTTAAATACATGCAGGTAATGCATAATGAGATTAAAGTAATTCATTGACTTAAATATGCATTATTTCTTGGGAATATTTAAAGTCCTTTTTGCCAGCTGCTTTGAAATACACAATGAGTTGTTCTTAACCACAGTCACTTTATTATGCCTCCTATATAATGTTACCCTTGCACTCCTTAGTCCTCTCTTCTCCATTCACCTCTCATCCCCCTAATTCTTCCTAGTTTCTGGTAGCCATTATTCTGCTCTCTACTTTGATTCCACTCATCAGTGTACTGTAATGTCCATTGTGGAGATCATTTGCTTCCTTGGCTCAATCTATTTCTAGGATTTTATTTTATTTTACTTTATTTTATTGTCACTGTAGTGAATGGGATTACTTTTTTAATTGCTTTATCAGAGGTTTCATTATTGCTGTGCAAAAAGAAATGCATTTTATGTATTGTTTTTGTGCATTGACATAACATAACCAAATTTGTTAGTTCTAAGATTTTAGAGAAGGGTCTTTTAATTTTGCAATACATAAAATGACGTCTTCTGTAAAGGATTAATTTGAAGTTCTTTCCTATTTAGGCCTCTTTTTTACTTCTCTTTCTGTTTTTGCTCTTACTACGTCTTCCCATACTATGCACGCGGAGGCCTGAAAGTAGACATCCCTCTCCTGATTCTGTTCTTACAGGAAATGCTATCAGTTTTTGCCCTTCCAGTCTGATTCTGGCTGTGGGGCTGTCACATTCAATCTTTCTTATGCTGAGCTACAATTCTTTAATTTCTTCAAACTTTTTTTTTAATCACAAGAGGAGGTCGAATTCTTCAACATATTCTCTTTATCTATTGAAATGATCGTTTAATTTTTGTTCTTTATTCTGTTGATACTATGTAACACTTACTAATTTGTATATACCAAACTCTTGTTGCATCCCTGAAATAAATTCCACTCAGTCATTGTGAATCAATTTTTTACTGTGTTGTTGGAGTAGATTGTTGAGGATTTCCTCATCTATGTTCATCCATGAAATTGATCTATAGTTTTCTTTTTGTTGTAGTGTCCTTCTCTAGTTTTTGTATAGTTTGTGATTTCCTTAGGGAATAAGTTTCCCTCTTATGTTTTTAAGCTTAGGAAGCATTGATGTTAACTCTTCTTCAATATTTGGTAAATTCAACAGTGAAACCATTTAGTCCTAGGATTTGTTTTAGGTAAACTTTTATTAGTTATTTAATATTATTACTTGTCATTGTTCCATTTGGATCTTCTACAGCCTGGTGATCTAATTGTAGTAGATTATATATGTCCAAGGATTTACCCATTTCTTTTATTTAGATTTTCCAATTTGTTGGTCTATGTTTGTTTATAATAGTACCTCGCCTTATTTTTATTCAAATGTGCTTTGCTTATAATTTATTTCTAATAATACTGAGATTGGCTTGTCCCTGTTATTCTAGGTCCTAGTTGCAATGTCAGATTGTGTTTTTGAAATTTTTCAATAATTTTATGCCGACACATGACAAGAGATTTTTTAGTACTGTTTTACTGTATAATATGGATTTCAGCATGTCCTGTTTCCATGTTTTCAAGAAACTTTGATTTCTGTTTTAAATTCTTACTGGTCCATTGATTTTCAGGAGTGTGTCTCTTGCTTTCTGTGCTACATTTCCTTTTTTTTTTTTTTGACTTCTAGTTTTACTCTATTCTGGTCAAACATTCATACAGTTTAATTTTTGTGGTTACAAACTCCACTTTATACAGTATTTTTTAAAAAATGAGTGTGTTTGTAAATCATGTAGTTTACACTCATCTATGAGAGTGGTCACATATTCACATCAAAGTTTGCTTCCATTTTTAAAATCCTCTATCCCTCCGTTCCATTTTCCTCCTCCTCCTCCAGTTCCCCTATCCTCTTTTTCATTCTTGCTGATATTGTCTAGCTCATGTTATGGCATACAGTGTTAGCCTTCATTGGGCTTATTAGGTTCCTGACCGTGGCTTCTCTTATTTACCTTTCTCCTGTCCTCACCCTCATGCTTGTTTCCTTGGACTCCTTTCTTACTGCATGAGATTTGTCTCTCTGTACCTTTCTACCTATCCTTTATCATTTTCTTTGCACTTTGCCTCCCTCAAATGGGAGCTATCATATGCCATTTAAGCTTGTGTGTCTAGTTTATTTCATACAACATTATGCTTTCCAGGTGCATCCATTTTCCTACAAATATCTCAAATGTGTCATTTTCCACAGCTGAGTAGTATTCCACTACGTATCGATATCACATTTTTCTTATCCAGTTATCTGTTGATGGATATACAGACTACTTCCAGGATTTAACTAATACAAAGTGTGCTACTACAAACATTGGTAGGCAAGTATCACTTCAGTATGATGACTCAAACTCTTTGGGAGAAGATATCTAGCAGGGATAGATATCTTGGATAGATAGCATGGATCATATAGAATTTCTGATTTCAGTTCTTGAGAAATCTCCGTACCGCCTTCCATAATGGTCACACTGGTTTGCATTCCCACTAACAGTAGAATTTTAATTCTTAAAAAATTTTAATCTGTTTAGACATGTTTTGTGACTTAACATATGCTTCTTTCTGAAGAACACCCACTTTGCTAACAAAAACAGGGTATTCCATGACTGTCGGATGAAATGTTCCATAACACCTGTGGGATTCATTTAGAATATTATACAGTTTAATCCTACTGCCTCTCAGTTTTCTTTCAAGGTGATCTATCCATTGTTGAATGGAAAATGTTGAAATACCCAAGGATTATTGTGTTGGATTTTATCACTTCCTATGATTTGATATTTGTTTTATGCAATTGGGTAGCAGAGTGTTGGATGAATACAATTTACAAGCATTTTATATGTTTTCTCAATCAGTTTTTCCATTATATAATAAATATATTATATCTTTTTACAGTTTTTACTTGAAGTTTGTTTTACTAATCATGAAGATAGTTATACTATTCGGTTTTGGACTCCATTTGTGTAAAAACAAAATATATTTCCCAGAAAACTAAATTACTTGCAGCCAATATATAGTTGAGAGGTTTAAAAATCCATTCATCCATTAATGCACTGTCATCCATTTATATTCAGTGTTATTACTGATTATTAACAAAATACCGTCATTTGCTCTGTGTATCCAGTATTCCTCTCTCCCTCCTCTCCTGTTAACTTTTGTGATGTGGTGGTTTGCTGTAATGTCAAGTTTTGATTTATTTCATTTTCTACAGTGAGTTGCACACTTTCTTGTGTTTTCCTGATGGAAGTTATCCATCTTTTCATTCTAGCTTTAGGGCTCTCTTAGGAAATCTTAGTGAAGCCATTCTAGTGATGATGAATTTTCTTAGCTTTTGCTTCTGTGAGACTTCATTTTTTTTCTAGTTTCTGAAGGATAATTTTCTTAAGTGTACCGCTGAGCTATCTTTTGTTTTTCTTTCTTTAACCATTCTGAATGCATTATCCCATTTTCTCCTGGTCTGCAAGGTTTCTGTGAACAATTTCCTGTTTCTTGTATAAGGATTCCTTTACATGCTACTTGAATTTTCTCTTGTTGCTACTGGAATTCTTTCTTTTTGAATTTTGGCAGCCTGATTATAATCTGCCTTGGAAAGGACATCTTTGTGCTGGGTCTAACTGAGATTCTTGGAGCTTGCTACAAGTAAAAGCCCATATCTCCCACAAAATATAGCAAGTTTTCAGCTATTATCTTATGAAATATACTTCCAGTACATGCCCCTCTTTTCTCCCTCTGAAACCTGATGATACAAATGCAGATGTATGCTTGCTAATGGGGTTCAATTGTCCTGTAAGAATTTCTTGTTCTTTTTCATTCATTTTTTCTCTCAAATGGGTAATTCACATTATTGCAATCATGTTGGATGTGTTGTCTTCAAGACATATTTTACATCATGTTATTCAAGAAATATTTTATTTCATGTTATTCAAGACATATTTTACTTTTTCATGTTGCTTCTCCAAACCAAATATACCACTATACCTCCATGTCTGGAGAGGATTGGTCATATTGACATATTATAACCTTTTTCTTATTATGGAATATTTAAAAGCATTCACAAAACAGAGCATAAGTAATACTCATATACTCAACACTCAGTTTTCTTAGATCTTGAAAAGAAACTGCTGTGTACCTTTCCTCTTCTCTTTCTGTTCTGTTATACCCACCAGTAAACATTTTTCTGGACATAACAGATAGATAACCAAATTGTCATCTACATTTATTGTAATCTAATATATCAACTTTGTATTTATAAATGTAAGTTATTTTACATCTGCTTTTAGAAATTCTTCTTAACTCTAAGGTCAAAGGTATTCTCTTCTACTTTTTCCTAAACATTAAAACTTTTGTCTTTTGACATACAGGTCTTCTATAAACTGGAAAATTATGTATTCTGGGAGGTGCAAATTGAAGTTTAATTTTCTGTGGTATAAATACAATCTTCAGAACTCTTTAAAAAAAAGAAGCTTAGCACTCCTCATAAAATGATCTTACTGTAATATTTACATACCAAATTTCCAGGTATTCATGGATACATAACTGGGCTCTCTATTTTAAAATATTTTACCATCTGTGCAGTTAAGATTATGCTAAATGAAGTAAGAGAGACTCAGAAAGTTAAATATCACCTACATTCTCTTATATGAGAAAACCAAAATATAAATAAATGAAAAAATAAAGAAGAGCTTATAGAAAATTCGAATTAGCCTACTGGCAATGGGGAAGATCAAAGAGAGGGGTTAGGAAAAGGAAGGAGGTGTAGAATGATTAAAACTGCTCAAGATACGCGGTATGCATGCACCAACTCCCCGAAACAAACGTAACAGCTGTGTATCACCGCATGCAGTAAAATTTCATTCTGCTTCATTCATAAGTAACAATTATCTTAATTGGTTTATTTCACAATAAATTTTGGTTTTCTTTTAGTGAAATTCTTTACCTTGCCATTTTTCTGGAGAGTGTATTGTATATTCTTGATATCTTTTTTCTATTTGACTTTTATAAAACCCTTTAAGGTCTGTGAAAAATTCTGTTAAGATTTTTTATTAATGTTGCGAGGAAGTTATAATTTGCAGAGAAATAACACCTTTCTAATATTTAGTCTTCAAATATATAAATATTCTCTTAGTTTGGGTATGTTTATATATACATATATATCAGTGAAGTTGTATTTTTCTTCATAAAAGTCTGGATCATCACTGATAAATTTACTTCCACATATCTTACATGGTAATATACAAACCAAATAGTTCCATAAAATTATATATTTTTCATTTGTTTCTCAGTAGGGTAAAAGAATAGCTAATTCTTATCTAATGTTTTTTTCTAAGGACTTTAAACCAATATATGATTAATTTTTCCAATTATAGATGCTCATGAATGTTTAGTTTGCAAATATTTTGTCCACTTTTAATAAAACAGTTTCACTTTGTTATTAGGGTCCTTTGAGCATAAAACTTTTAATTTTGGTGAAGTACAATTTATCTTTCTTTTCTCCATTTATAGTTTATACTCAGCGATATATCTAGGAACTCTTCAATTAATTCTAAATTTTCAGGATTTTCACCTTCATTTTTCCTGAGAATTCAATAGTTTTTCTTTTAAATTTATGATACATGTTAATTAATCTGTATTCCAAACACGTTTGTATAATGATTGGAGTGGAAGCAATTTTTCTTTTTTTTTTTTTTCTTTTTCGTTTTTATCGGTACCAGGAATCGAACTCACGACTGCCTGCTTGCAAGGCAGGCGCTTATGCCGCTGAGCTAAATCCCCAGCCCGGAAGCAATTTTTCAATCTGTGGCCAGCCACCAGCTCTGATAACACTTGCTGACCACTATTTTCCATACTCTAGTCTGTTATAGTTGGAAGCAGTCTTATTCTCATTACTTGTCTTATTTGCTCAGTTCTTCAAATATATAAATATTCTCTTAGTTTGAGTATGTTTATATATACATATGTATCAGTGAAGTTGTATTTTTCTTCATAAAAGTCTGAATCATCACTGATAAATTTACTTTCACATATCTTACATGGTAATGTACAAACCAAATAGCTCCATAAAATTTCAAGTTCGAGTTCTATTGCCCAATATTGAGTATCACTCTCTGCCTAGTTCTTGAGTTGTTGCCACTTAGGGTAAAGCAGTTCTTATCTGTACATACTTCAAGATGCACTTCACATCCATTCTCTGGTGACTGTAAGAAGGCAGACAGACTAAATCAAGAACAAAAGATAAAACTGCTGTCCATAATTCAATAATATCTGCTATTTTCTACCTGCACTAATATAAAATTTCACTTTTAGGTTCTGATTCATTTCAATATGTTTTTCTCTGTACTTTATAAATGAAGTCATATATCTACATCATCAGGTTTCAGAGCATTCCTTCCTTCATGTGAAAGATAAAACTATTTCTTTTACACATCTAACAATTACAACAATGATACAAGTATATCAAGGTTACTGAATAATTATTAATTGATTGAGATTTCTACTGTTGGGCTCTAATTTCAAAGTCCAATATACAAAATTTTACTTACCCATTATAATTTTCATTGATTCCAGCAAACCGCACTGGATTACAGTGTACAAAAATTATCATCACAAGAAATATAATTGACAAAGTAGATGAAACTATTGTAAATCTCATCAAAGCTTTACAAGACATTTCCAAATAGTAAGCGATGATGCCTCCTAGAAGTTGGCCAAGTGCGCCTGCTGGAATTAAAATAATTCCTAAAGAAAAGTAGAAAATACAGTTAAAGTTAATCATTAAATTCAATCATTAATTATTGGATACATTCATTCAATACCTCTGCTCTAACATACAGCCAGTCTATATGTAAATTTAACAACAGCGGAAAAAGCTTAAGACATGATAGAACTGGCAACAAACCTGAACTTTATGAGACATACAGATTTGTGAGTGAGCCTAAAAACTTGGGTCTGTGGTCTCTAAGGAAGTGAGTGCAATTCTGCTCCTGTATAGCCATGATATCCGAGATGAACCCGCAGCCTAATCCACGCCAGTGAGAACCAGTTGGCTAGCTAAACTAATGATAGCTAACAATAGCTTAACTGGATTTGTGGCTTGTTAGAAGAGGCATGATTTAAGCAACAGGAGCTCTCAAATAGAGATTTGCGAACAAGCTACCCATTGTGTCTGTAAATATATGTGAAATAATAAGAATCTCACAAAAAGTGGGAATCTAAAAAGCCACTATAAGACATAGATTTTTATTCAAGCATAAAGAACTAGGAAGAAGAAAGCCCAAAAAAGAATAGAAGGGAGGAGATAACAGAGAACAAGAAGGATGAAGAGAAACAGAAAATCATCAGATGAACAAGCACAGCAAACTCACACATTGGTGCAAACCCTTTAGCTCCACACACAGACCAATGGGAGGTGTAAACAGGCATATAGTATGGAAAATTTAATGCACAAACACCAAAACATTAATACAGGTTAAGTTTGTACTACAGAACGTCTGACAAAGACTGGAATTTCAGAATGTTCAAAAGCATAAATGATAAAATGTTTCATAAAAATAAATACATAAATACAAGGGAAAGGAATACAATGGACACATACAAAGGAACACATAGGAAATTTAGATATTAAAAACTTTAATTGTTTAAATAAAAAATGAAGTGGAAGGTCAACATGGTGGAACAGAAACCCTCGGCACCCCCACTGAATGGGCACAAAGGAAGGGATGTAGCTCTTTTCTGCACTGAAATTGATGGCAGAGAAAATGAAACCTGGTAGATTTTAGGAGTAGGGAGGAAAGGTAGAGAGAGGAAGGAAGGAAGGAAGGAAGGAAGGGAGGGAGGAAGGGAGGAAAACAAAGCTGGTGAAGGAGGGGAAGAGAAAGGAGACAGGAAGAGAAGGAAAAATGAATAACACAGCTCTGGCTTCCAGGATCCTTGGGTGGTTGAAGAGGACTTCTAAGTAGAAAAAGATTCACTAACACCAGAATAAATTCATTAATGTAAGGCCAAAGAGACACTCACCACGCGGCACCCTGAAGCTTAAACAAATAGCTTACATAAATAGGTGACTTGGAGTTTGCATAACAGTCTGTCTTTAGAACAGAAATTCACTGCCTCCCTCAGCAAACTCTGAGTGCAAGAGCCAAGGGGCATCTAGAGAGCAGTTCTTTGTTAGGACTAAACTGCCCTGAGATCAGAACACCCAGCACAATCACATCTTGGGGTCCCTCTGGGCATCTTGCTGTATTGGCTGCATAGGTGGAGGCCATGGCTTGGGGAAGTGCTTCTGACTCAAATCTTTGCGCATTTGTGCCCTGATGAGCAAGGCTCCTGAGGGAGAGGGCTGGGGAGGTCACAGGATTCAGAGACCCTGCCATATGGAAAGGAAATCGACACCAGTCATGTGCGGTTACACCAAGGAGCCCCTTCTGAAAGTGCACAGATGAAGTGTAGCGAATTCCAGAGTTCCACAACCTCCTCTCCTACGCAGAAGTGGTTGGTTTAATTGCTTGCTCCACTGAGCATTCTGGGGACCAGCCATGGCCTGGGTATTTGCCAGGCCTGAGGATGCACACACTGAAAGCCTATGGACTATATACCATTCTGCTGAAACTTGGTCAGTCAGAAGTGTTTGCTGCACCCTGACATGGACCATACCTGCCAAATGTGCAACTAAAGACCTCCAGAGCAAATGTAGAGCTGGAAATGTCATGTTCTACCCACACTCAGTCCAAAAAATGTCTTTCTGTAGCTGGACTAGTCACAGCCCCTAGATGAGCAGACTAAAAGCCTTAGGTGAGAATATACTTCTGACTTGTTAACATCCTCTTAACCTGTGAAATGCAGGGTGCAACCTGCCTTCCACCCCAACTAATTTGGCAAGAGCCAAGAGAAATTATAAACTTCAGCTGTAACCCATCAACCCCTCCACACATTGCAGAGTGCAACCAGAGAGAAGCTTTTCAAAGCACCTGGAATAGGGGAAATTTTTTTACTAGTTTTTTTCTCCCCTTCTATTCTATTATTATTGTTGCTTTTATTATTCATTGTTTCCTTTTATCTTATTTTAATTTCTTAACTGAATGTTTTTCTTTCACTTCTCTTCTTTCCTAATTTTTTCTTTTCTTTTCCTTTTCCCTTTTTTTTTTGCAGCTCACTGAACCAGTTCTAATCCTTTTCCCTTTTTAATTCTTTTTATATCACTTCCTTTGCTTGTCATTACATAGTTTTATTCTCTTGCAAGAATCTCCCTTTTCCTCCCCCACTGTCTTCCTCTCCCTCTCTTCTCTTCCTCTCTCCCCTCCCACCTCCCTGTCTCTCTTCCTCTCACCACCACCTTACCTTCCACCCAGTGCTGGGACTTGAGCCCAAGGCCTGGCACACATTGAGTAGGTTCTATGCTGATGAGCTACATGCCAGCTCACCTGGGAGGAACCAAGCCAGCTTCACCCATAAGCCTGTCCCACTCAAACAATGATGGGAAATTCTGTATAAATAAAAGGGAAGACATTGACTTCCAGATATGACCCATCCTAAGGTGGCCACAGATAGGAGAAGGCTGAGGTTTTGCCCTAGTGGAATACCTTCACAGATCAGCACAGAGCAAAACCGTGACTATAGTTGATTGCTTGTACCTATGTACCTATATTCCTACAATAAATTTCAGCTGTACTTGGTCTGATTGAAGAGGGCCGATGACTATCAAGGCGATTCCCACTGGAGAGGAGTTGAGATTTCAGTCTCCATTCTTCCCTGTGAAGCACCCAGATCCATACCTATGTGCAATCAGAGGACAAGAGTTTCATGCCCTTCAACAGATCTGATGCAACCAGCATCACAATCACTTTCAAGGAACTATCAACCGTGCCTCAAAACCTGAAGAGACAATAGGTCATTTCAACCCCAACCGAGGATGCTCTGAGCCCAGAGCCACGAGTTACAACCAAAGAAACTATAGGGAGAGCATCCTAAGGAGTCCAGTAGGAAATAGTCCCAGCATTATACAACAAATCAACACTCCAAGGCACATCAATAGAAGAAAGTTGAATATCACGGAGGCCACCACTTGAAAGTGGCAGTTGTATATTCCCAATTACTTTACAATTTCAAGGGCTGGCGATAGTATGATTCCTGAGACTAAGAAAAGATACACATGCTATCTAGTATAGTGTCTCCTGAAGTCAAAGACAAGCATGATCACTTTCTCTTATAAAAGATTTTGATTTCTGAAAGTTAGGTTCCTTTCCTGTAACACAATTCTGTGTGTGCAGATGGTACCTGGCCTTTTTTCACATTGTTTTATGGTAAGTGTGGCTATGTAGGCCACACTGTAGATGTGCTACAATTTCACAGAAGTTTCAATCATTTTTACTAAGAAGCCTCTGGACAGGACGCTTCCTTGTAAATCAATATCAGGTCTGACCTATTGTGACCACTACTATTAAGATTAATCATGGTCAGACAGAAAATTCCTTTTGCTTTCAGGCAACAGGTAATGGAGACATGCAAAATACTGAGTGTAAAAAGAGGGAAATTTACAACCACTATGTGCAGTGACCAGGTGAACTATCAGAACTGTAGTTGATCTGCTTGAAAGATGAGGGAGTAGAATGCACTTCTTAATGAAATGTCAGTCTATCTTGGAGTTTACCACATCAACTTGGCATCTGTTTTAAGGTAATAATAAAAGCTCTGAGAGGTTTTTGTCATGTATTCTAACTGCTACAAGATACCTATGTTTCCCCCAAGACAAAATTCTGTGTGACACATTGAATAGAATTTGGACTATCCCTGAAAAGAAAGTAAAGTGGCCTATGGCTGGTGCTTTAGACAATTAAAATGTGCTTTTGTTGTCATATGATGATGTTGCAACTCCAATTTCTAAGTTTGTAACTGAAAGTTCTGTTCTATAAGCTTTCGCCAACACCCAAAATGATAGCAGAATACATTAATTGCTATCCAAAATGTCTTCCTTTATCCCCTTTTGTATGATTCTAGAAAAAAAATTCCCAACTTTGAATATGAACCTAAATTTAGCAGGGCTAGAAAAGCATAAAGTATTTCAACTTAGCAGACTTTATGGTCAGCGAGTAAGGTAATAAGGAATGGAATTTTACAGCAGATTAATAGCCTGTTGAATTTAGTTGTTGAACCTATAGTTCTGGTAATTTGAGATACTGTGATGTAACCAAATTTAACATCAATTGCTGGCACTTTATTTGCTATATTGGACATTATCAAGACCTCTTTTTGTCTTTCATTGTCACTTAAAGATAAATATCAATTATCAGTCTTGCTGCCAAGCCACAAAAATATACATTTGCTGTATCTCCTAAGAGGTACCTAAACTCCTGGGAGGAGTCATTTGCTACAGGACAGTGAATCAAACGTAGAGTGAGCAGCACTTCACACGAGTGCACAAAGCTTTCCCTGATAGATGACAACTCAGTGACTTTCATTTGGTATTTTCAGAACATCAAGGGTAAATGATAAAAACTAATAAAATTCAAACTTCTCCTCATGTTTCTCAGGAGCCATGGAGAAGATTCTCTCCAGTAGTTAAGGAAACGTATGTAGAAGGGACTCTGCCCATGTCATCAGGATGGCTCCTCTGGCTGCACTAAAGTGCTTGTCTACGACCCAGTGAAGGTCTACTTCAAGCTCCCTCACCCTCCTCCACCCGAGAGGTCAAAGTCTCTGAAGAAGCAGCTTGGCTTAACTCCAGATAGATCATAGCAAATGTGGACTGAATCTGCCTGTTGATCAGTGTTGAAAAAAAGTACAAAAGTAACTTTGTATCTATGACAGTGTAGGAAATTGTCTATTTCTGATATAATTATTGTAATACCCTTGCTTAAGGCAATAGTTTCAAACACTGCTGAAATAAACCCATCTGTTCATGAGGAAAAAAAAAAGGAAAAGTTAAATTTTTCCTCCCTCCAAACAAAAAGCAGATTAGCATCACTTTGGGCATCAGAGATAGCAGATGATCTATTAGAGCATTCGGGTATGCTTTTAATCAGATAAACCACAGTCATATGAGCCCTATGAATTACAAGGTTTCATGGCTAGAGATTTTGTAGACTGGGGCCTCTAGAAAAGGGAGAAAACTTCAACTAGGATATTTTCTTTGGGTAGAAGACTCACTGACCCGCTAAAATAGCTACCTTTTGAAAAACAGCTATGCACCTATTAATGTCCTTTTGTCAAAACAAAAGCCTTGAAACATAAACTCTAAACCTCTGGGGACTGACATCCTCATTTTGGTATGAGCCGAACCTAGCGCACAACCAACTATTTGACAAGTTTTACTTGTTCAATGGAAATGATATTTTGAAGAACGTAGAGGTGGTGGTCATAAAAGAAGTTATACATACAAGGAAACACACTAAGTAGATCATATGCCTCAGTAGACTATGGAAATCTTTCTAAAATAAAGCTGCTCTTGTTACTCAGCAGAGCTCCCCAAAGGGATTAATGACACATTATTTATATCAATCCTGAGGGCAATTATCTCTATAATCAGCACAATTCAATTATAAAAGGTGATGCAACATTTATCCTTGAAGCTGAGTGAAATAATGACACCAAATTTTCCCTGGAAAGCACTCTGGCAAGCCTAAGTCACTGATTGGCATTGTTATTAATGACAGAACTGCCCAAAGCTTCATCCTTGTAGGTCAATGTAGAATATGCAGGTGCTCTTATGTTCTAATATGTCTAACAAGACGTTGACTAAAGCTCAGGCTATGTGAAAACTTACAATACAGAAAATTAAAGGAAAATCTCATAGCTAAAGAATTTTGTGCATCTGGCTGGGTCCAGGATCTTGAAGGCACAGTTGAGACTTTTCCTGCTGGTGGTCTTATCCCATGTCTTGCAATTTGTTAGAGGCTTAGCTAAGAAACAAATCAAAGGTATTTGCTTCACAGCCTCTGTTGACTAGATTAACAGTGATAAATACTGCACTTATGGGAAGTATATCATCATGGCCACATTCGTATCATATTTTAGCTTTTTAGAAAATGTGTGGCTTGACAATGCTCGGACTTTTATAGAAAGATGTATTAAATAATTACCTTATGTTCAATGTTTCTGCATGTGTTAATATGTCTTTTCTATCTGGTCCACATATTTTGTGTTCTTTGGCTCTTTCATTGTTTCATTTTTAACTCACTGATTTCTGCCTATTAATATCCTCTTTGATTATTCCTTGACTGATCAAAAGTTTCAGCATGAATCCTTAACCCCCCATAGCTAAATATAATTGCTACATTTCCTGCTTTCTTATTAATGCTAGAAGCTTATGACATTAATTCCACTAGAAACCTCTTTTTGGAAGCTAAAGTCTTAATAACTAGTTAAACTGTAATAACTAGTAATAACTAGGTATATACAATGACGCTCTCTTTTAATGTCAAAACATAAAACAGCCTTTACAAATGAGCATAAGGAGATATCACTAAGCCTATTAGAGACAATTGCGTATCTGTCAATATAATGATACAGAGTGACATATCCACAAAACAGAGTCCCCACAGGACATTTAGGATGCATTAAATAGATGTACATCAACCTATGTGTGAAGAACATAACTTCTGATGAGAAAAAGAAGGAGCAAAAGAATGTGTAAAATGATAAATGAATTTTAGAAATGGGTTAAATATAAACAAAAAGATAAGCAGAGACCCGAAGACAAATATGGATAAAGAGGATTCAGTGTAACTTTAGAGAAATGGGTGTGGAAGGGATGTGAATGTTCTTATAACACTTTGTTTTATAAAATACGATGGCACAATATTTGACTTTATTCTCTTCCAAAAAAAAAAGTAATAAGAACTAAGGAGTAATAAAACCCAAAATGTGTAAATTTTGTTGTAGAAAAGAGAGGGAAAGGAGGTGCTCTAAAGGATACAACTGCAAGTGCGTTTAGGGGTGTTAAATAGCTGACCATGTTAATGTTTTTGGTTGGATCATTGAACACAACTGTTTGCAGTCTCACTGTTTGAATGTCCACTTTGTATGCTTTGATACTGTGACTTGAGCAACTATCTCTAAGACGATAATGTGTAATCTATTAACTGGTGATTTCTTTTTTTTTTTTTTTTTTTTTTTTTTGTAGTTCTGTATTACTTGTACCCTTACACCGCTTTGTTTTGTTTTGTTTTTTCTCTTTTTCCTTTTAAATAAAATTTAAAAAAAATATGATGGCACAATAGCACAGTTCACATTTTTTAAAACTTCAGTTAATAGTACTTAAGTATATTTCTCTATTTTATGCTTACTGGAAATATTTAATAAATGCATACTCACGAAGACATCACAAAACGTTTGAGATGATAATAATATGAAGGAATGACTACCTGTAAGTGCAGTTGCTGTTGCGGGTGCTAATATAAACTGAGTTTCTAAATATATAGGTAAAAATTCAGAGGCTCCAATAATGATTAAAGATTCTGTAGCTTTAGATAGTGTTTGGCACAGAAACACTGGATTCTTCAGCATAATCTGTAAAGGAAATACCATTTATCAGTTACTTTGTTATGTCAAGAGGATTAGATATATTAATTTATATATATTCTATATATAATATACATTATATAATATTTAATGTATTAATATGTTAATGATCAGTCTGTAAAGAAATTATAATTCCCAGCATATGCTATGAAGGTTTGTGGTACTTTGTCACAGAGCAGTGGATAATTGGCACATCCCACATAAGTCACAAGTACTTGATAACATTTCTACTTTTCAAAATATCCTCATGCAGACAAATGTAGTTTCACAAAGCTTTCTTCTGTACTTATGTAGCTGTAAACGTAACTAAACTTTTCTTAGCCATTTGAGGGCTTTGTGTGTGTGTGGGTGTGTAATGATTATTTCTATTTCTATTAATCTTTCTGAACATTTTGTGTAGAATTTTTCTTGCTCATGCTAGGTATTAAGCTGGATTTAGAGATCTCTTACCTGTTCACTAATATTGTATGTAGTTTTCTTCCTAGAAATCTTTGGCTTTATGTAATCTAATCTATAAAACTTTACTGAATATTTTATACTATCAAAATCTTAACACTGTCCCATTTCTATGTTACAAAATATTTCTCTGTGTTTTGAATTTCAAAAGTTTGTTATTTTTAGGTGTGGTAGTACAGGACTATAATTCCCATATTCTGGGAGGCTGTGGCAGGAGGCTTTTTTAAAAGCCTGGGAATATAGCTCAGTATAAAGGTTAGTATACTTGCCCCAAATTTTGGTAGTCACCTTTCCACATAATGTGAGGTAGACATCTTACCTCATTTTTTACATATAGACAACAAAATTTTTCCTCACATACACTACACAATTATTCTTACTATAATTATTTTATCATGTTCAAAGTTATATATAGTATATGTAGTTTATATAATCTATTGCTAGTTCTCTTCCTGTTCTTTTACTTCTATTGCTTTGTACAGAAGAAATGTTATACTATTTTTACTAGTATGGTTTTGTAAAATATTTTAATATGTACTAAGTTCAATGCTGTTTGCTTGTTTTGAGCCATGTGAATTTTACAATTAATTTTTCATTCACTCAAAAAACAAAATTCATATCTACATGACCATGACTGCTATAGTCCTATTCATAATAGCTAAGCTATGACATTAACTTGGATACTCATCAACTGATGAATGAATAAAGGATGAAAGAAATGTAGTATGCATATGCAACTGAATATGATTTACCCACAAAGAAGAATAAAATCTCGTCATTTGTAGCAGAATGAAATGGAGCTGAAGGATGTATTAAGTTGAATAGATCAGACTTGTGAAAACAAATACTGTGTGTCCTCTCTCATACATGGAATCTAAAAATAAAAGTTGCCATGCATACTGGAAAGTGAAAAAAGGACTGACAAAAGTGTCTGTAAAACAAGCATCAAAACACAGATAGAAGGAGTAAGCTCTTGTGTTCTACAGTCTAGTGGGTTGACTACCCTTCACAATTACTCCATATCATATGGAGATCTAGAAGAGAGAAGCTCAAGACATGAAACACAAAGAAATGATACGAGCAGGGAAATGCAACTCACTGTGGTTTGACTGGTGCATTTTGTGTGCAAGTGTTGAAATATTACAATGAATCCAATTAATACACATGTTAAACACATGTTTGAAACTTTTAAAGAAACAACTTTAAAACATTCCTGTTTAAATTTTGTGCAATATTTTCTAAACAATTGTATCTTAATTTTAACAATATGGAAAATTATAACTGACTTCTACATTGTTAAAATATGTACATGTATACTCTAATAAAATTAAATTCTAAAAAATATTAGAGAAATGCAAAAAACTACAAGAAAGGGTTCATGATTTGACAAAAAATATTTAGTGAATAGAAACCAAAATTGTTTTATGCAACATTAAAAACAAGTGACTAGAATGTGGGGGAAAGAAAGAAAATTCTGAGAAAATGAGGCAAGAAAATATGGTTGACTCTCTTATGAGTCTTGAAAGTCCTATTTTTGAAGTATGAAAATCACCTACCATGTCATCTGAGAAATTACTAGATAAAATTTATATATGAATAAAACAATTGTGCAGGCAGCATTAAAAAAAGATTATTTTGTGGGAGAAGAGAAAAGAAATGCAAACTGATTGGACATTGATATTTTTAATGCTATGATATGTGTGTGCTAGTTCTGTTTCTCACCCAAAGAAGCAAAGGTTCTTCATTTCATTCTGTGTTGAGATATTTTGCCTAAAATATAATGTTTGCAGGTTTATGTGTTTACTACTAAAGTTTCCTAAATAATTTAAGCATAGTAAAATTCATGTTGGTGTGAATACATCATTCATTAAAGAAACTTCTTATTTCTTAGGGGAAAACAAATGCAAAATAACATAGACACAAAATTAAAAGAAATACAAAAAAGACACCTGGTATTAGTCTCCTACTCTGGCCAGGTTCTTGGCAATGTCATTTATATAAATACTATTGTATGTTCTATTCATAGAAAATAAATAATTAAAATTTAAAAACTCAGAAACTTTCACGCAAATTTAAATTTAATAATTATGGTCATTTTCTTAAGCCCACTATCAGAAAACTGTACTAATGAACTTAAATAGCAAGTTTACAAAGAATATTTTAATTTACCCAAACAACACCAAACAAATCCTTAATACTTGCTCCAAATTTCCAGTGTTGGAGGTCTTTCTCAAACAAATGAAACTCTCTTCGTTTCCTATCTCTTATCTTTGCTGTATCTGGAAGTTAACAAGGAAAACAATTTATTTAAAAAATAAACAAAACACAAATATACAAATCCTAATATACCTAATTTTTGGAGGGGAGGCTAGGAAGACATTTTCAAACAAGCTGAGGTCAATTCAATTAATTAAAAGACACACTCTTGTAAAATAATGCTGTTTTAGAGGTAATGCAATATTGACAGAATGTGACAATGCAAGACAGCTATATTGGTACCACCTACCACTAGCTTCCTATGGCTACTAAGAACTTGAAATGGATTTCCTATAATTGAGTATATTTTTAATTTAGTTCAAACAGATACATTTGACAAGTGGCTGACGTGTTTGACAGCCCACCTCTAAAATTTAAAAGAATAAACTCTGCTCTTACTAAAAATATTTTGTAAGGATAAAATATACCATCAAGAGAGAATTGTTTGTTCTGACTTTGCATGTGGTTTTTTGTATTTGCAATAGTTTTAATAGTGATTCCATCTTATGAAAATTTCTCTGAGCTGGTACAAACATTAAAGCAAGTTAGGTAGCTTTAAATATGCTTCATATTTAAAACTCAACTATGTGCTTTAAACATAAATCATTTACAAAGCAAACAGTGAATATATATATATATATATATATATATATATATGATTTTGCTCCATAAGTAAAATATGTGCCTATGTGTTGCCTTATTTGTTCAAAAATATTAGCACGTGACACTATCTTTATGACGGACCAGTAAAAGATTGGTATTCACAGGCAGATGTACTTCGGCCATGCTGTGAGAATCGGAGAGGAGAAGCTACTGATCTTAATTAATTAATTATAATTTTATAGTCACCTCCTATAATGCGTGGAAAGCATAACAATGGTATTAGTGTAGACCATGCAAGTGAAGCAGCAACAATAAAATCATGCCACCAGTTCTTCTTCTGTCCTGTATCAACACTATGCAGAGAAAAATGAAAATTTCAGCTTTCGTCACTTTATTAAAAACAAAGCAATAATTATTAAAAACAAAGCCTTAATCAATCAGAGAGCACATGGAGGATTTTTTTATTAATCTGTACTAATTTGTAATTTGTCACTATCACTTGCTGGTTTTGTTGACAGATAATGATTATTGGTCTTCCAATTACATTACTCTTCTGACTAAGACTCAGGAGCTTCGTTTTTTTCACTTTTGAGCACAACTATGATTTCTAACTATATATATCATAATACATACAGTGTGATTACCATGTAAGGGTGTATACTTGTATACAAAGAAGATTCAGGTGAATCAAATAAATAAAATTAAAAAATATAAACAAAAATTTGATAGGGTGACTTGTATATTTCAGATAAATTTTAAAATGAAAATATTTTTCCTACCAGAAATAATTGATTGGAAAACAAAATGATGTAATGATCACTAACAAAATGTACAAAATATTCAGAAATAAGCCTACCAGAATATATTCAATAAACAATACAACAACACTTCACTGAAAGGCATAGAAAACAAAGAGAAAATCACATGATATACCATGTTCTTGCACAGAAAATTATTTCCAGTTGATATATGAATTCAAACCAAAATGTTTTGATTATAATCAGAGATTATCAATATTAACTGGAACAGTAATTTTACAAAAATTGTCTCTGATGCTTGGTGAAAAGTAATAAGAGGGTCCCACCCAGAATGCAGCACCTTCAGTATAACAAAGGAAGCCACACTACCGGGAAGGACCTGGGCTCTATCCTCTGTAGGAACCACCGATCCTGTGAGCACTGGCATTATCCAGCATCCACCTGAACACCTGCCCTGTGGTCTACAACCAACAAAGCCCAGAGAGCTGGTCACTTTCCGTATCCACCAATGTGAGCATGGACGAGCTTTGATGTGGATGGTAACCAGAGTAGACAGAATAGCCAGAGGGTACAGGGAGGATACCTCAAAACCCTTAGGCCTTAAAGTTGTAATTTCCTTGGCAGGAAATTATAACTGGCTGGATTGTAAGACTGCAGACCGTGGGAAGAAACCACTCAGTTAAAATCACAGGTGAGTTTTTTTTTTTACTTAATCTTTTTAAAAGTTCTCTGTTTTAAATTATTATTTTCATTCCTTTGTGTATTTTGCTTTGTTTTTGGAGAAGGTGGGTTTTCTTTTTTGGTCTTTTTTTTTTTCTGTTTAGTTTCTTTTCTCTCTTCCTCTCTTTCAACTTTTTTTCTTTGTCTTTTTTCCTTTCATTTCCTTTATTTTTCTCCATGCTTTTCTTTTTTGCTGTTGTTGTCTATTATTTCTTGTCATTTTTCCAACATTACTAATTTCTTTCTACTCCCCAGTAGGACCAGCTATCTTACATTTCTCTCTTCCATCTCATATCTTACTGATTCATTTTTCAAATTTTTCTTATTTCACTCTGGTTCTCCATCCTCTCTAACTTTACTAGTGTAACTATTAAGTTCTATGAATCTCTGGATAGCTGCTTAATTTTATGTTATTACTGTTGATTACAGCTATACTGTTAGTCAAGGTAAAGTTTGATAGACATTTAGTAGAAATTTACAGAAGATAAACAGAAGGTCACTATTTGGATTCTTTTAATTCTCTTATCTATAGAGAAGAGAATCTATATTATTAATCCTCCAAGTTTGTCAATATCCAGTTTGTCTTTCACATTATTGTCACTGCTTACATTATTATTGGGAACCTGGTCAAGAGTCTCGATTATGATTATCAGGAACCCAGCTAAGAGTCCATCCAGATTGTCAATATCAGGAATGCAAGAAAAATACAAAAAACAGAGACAAGTATCATATTCCAACAGTGGCTGAGAAGTCAGTGTCTCAGAATCCAACCTCTCTACTCCTAAAGCAGTCACTATTTACTAGCTGTATCCCGTGAACAGATGGGGTTAGTAAAGGATCCCAGTTCATCTGAAGACTTAGGCTCAAGAGGAAATAGATAATCTTATGCTTAGAAAAATCTTGACTTTGCATATAATCCTGAGATGACTCGCAAAAGCATAGATGATCTTATGCTTAGAAGTATCTTGTTCTTGAGTGTAATCCTGAGATGACTTAAGAAGGCATAGATGATCTTATGCTTGGAAGAGTCAATGGGAAATATCAGATGGGTGATTTCAACAATCTCAATCCTTCCTTTCATCCCACAAGCAAATACACAAAACCAGACACTGAACTTGGGGTCTCCAACACTTTATTACAACAGCCACAGCGATATTTGTTGATATTATTTATTTTTCTTGAGATTCAACATATGGATTACCTTGAGTCATTAATAATGCTGTGGCCCATACCTAGAAAACAAGGTACTGGACCAACTTTCTTCCCAAGTAAACACAAGTCACTGGGTTTTGCGACAGAGTACATTCAACTATTTGATCTTTGACAAAAGGGCCAAAATGCAAAAACTGAAGGAAAGATAACAAATTTAATAAATGGCATTGGTAAAACTGGATATCCACATGGAGAAGCATTGAGTCTGGACGTATCTCTCACCATGAACTAAACTAAAATCGAAAGAGATGAAAGAACTAAATGTTAAAACAAAAACATCTAACCTGCTGGAAGAAAAAATAGGTAAAACTCTTTAAGTCATAAACATAGCTAAGGACTTTCTGAACAGAATCCCACTTGCACAGAAATAGTATCAAGAATCAACAAATGGAATCTCACCAAATTGAAAAATTTGTGCACAGCAAAATAAGCAATCAACAGAGTGAAAAGTCAATGTACAGGTGGAAAAAAGTTTTTACCAGCTATTTGTCAGAATACTAGTATATAAAATATATAAAGAACACACAAAACTTAGATACCTAAAATCAAGAGCCATCAAAAGATGGGCAACTAAACGAATACTTCACAGAAGAAGTACAAGTGGTCAATAAATACATGAAGCAAAGCTTGAAGTTGCTGGCTGTTGGGGAAATGCAAATTAAAACTAAGCTGAGGTTCCACTCTACCCTAGTAAAGCCATCACCAAAAAATCAAATAACAAAGGCTGGAGAGGTTGAGGAAAGAAAAGGAACACTTCTACCTTGTTGATGGAATGTAAACTGGTAAAAACAATATGAAAATTGCTAAGGAAATTCCTCAAAAACTAAAACTAGAAATCCTATTTGACTCAAACATTTCCCTCCTAAGTATTTTCTCAAAAGATTTTGAAACATTAGATTACAGTGATACATGCCTACACAGCACAATTCATACTAAGTTAATCTTGGAAGCAGACTATCCAGCAAGAGATGAATAGAAAAAGAAAAGGTGGTGTTTACACACAGTGGGGTACTACTGTGCCACAGAGAAATAAACTTTGGTCATTTGTAGGAAAGTGGATGCACCTTGAGAATATACCTTTAAGGGAAATAAATAAGACACACAAGCTCAAGTATTGCACAATTTCTCTTATATGAGAAACGCAGATTATAAATAAAGGGTAAGGTAAAAGGTAGGTAACAGGAACTACAAAGACAGATGTTTCTCAAGGAGAAAGGGGATCAAGTGATGAAAGGAGAGGAAGGAGAGGAGGAGAATAGGATGAAAAAGGAATTAAAATGTTATTTACAAGTACCAATTCACCAGAAGGAATGTAAACATTATGTATTACAAATGTTTCCTACTCCGGGAGAACATGGAAGACAAATAACAGCAGCCACGGAGGCTCTCTGAGATTACCAGCTTAGAATCCAGGAGCGGTGCCGTGTGAGGAGTCCTACGCGAGGGGAGATGTACCTTGCCGACCCAGTAACAAAGCAAGCTGAGAGAAACCAACTGGAAATGCAATCCTGATGCTATAACAGGAACAGATAAAATCTCAGTGCAGAAGCTGGATCCCGCGTCATTGGAAGCCGCGATTTGAATGTCCTGCTGCCGATACTGCGTCCCAATCTGCATGGCAGGGAGAGAGACGCGGAAAGCTCTGAGAGTGGGAATCGGCTCAAACGGCGTTAAGAGCAGGACTGGCTCGACCTGCAGTGAGTGAAATGGGGACCCTTTCATAGACTAGGAGGCTCCAACAGAGGACATTCTGGGAACGGGCAGACTAGCCGGAACACAGCCCTGCAGTGACTTTAGTCGCATATTCCCCTCTCAAGCGGGAGTGGTGGGGAGCACTTGGCCTGGTGACGCTGTGGACTAAGATCCTGTAGGCTAGCCCAAATCAGGTCCCTGCACCTGCTGGTGCACCCTAGCAGTGAAACATTCAGTAGGTTGACCTGGAGGAGCGGGCCCAGCAGAGGCTGCCCAGGCATGTGTCTCCCTAGTACACTGCAGTGGGCGGGAACACCTAGCCAGCGGATTCAAACAAACTGCAACAGTCAAAGAGAAAAAAAAACTGGGCCTCCTACATATGCTTGTATGGAAGGAACAAAAAGTATGGGAAAAGGGAGCAACAAGAAAGGGTCCTCAGTCCCCAATCCTGAGAACACTGATGCAGGAAAGGTAAATGCAAAAGAGAATGAAGACAGAAAACATGCAATATCAGACACGGCGTCTATAGACATAAAACGGTATCTCGGGAGCCTCATAGACGAGTTCAAAAATGAAGTATTTAATGAAATAAAGCAAGAAATAAGTAGAATAGTTAGAGAAACGCTAAGCACCACCCAAGAAAAAACAGATGGTGGAATGGAAGGACAGAAAAAAAGGGGAGAATTGTTTGATGGAGAAAATAGAGAAAACATAGAATACGTGAAGCAGGTTCACAGAGATTACCAAGAAACTAAAAACTCTATTGAAAGCTGGCATAACAGCTTGAAAGAAACTAAGGATAGATTATCAGAACTGGAGGACAGATTTGTAAGGTGGGAGCATGAAATGAAAAACTTCTTAAAAATAACAAGAAAACAAACAGCAATAATACAAAGACTAGAAGATGACAAGAGGATCTATAACTTAAGAATTAAGAACATAAAAGAAGAAGTAGGGACTCAAGCAAATGA